ATATGAACCAGGTGGTCACAGTTCAATTCCCCATCAGGGAAAATGCCCATGTTGCTGGCTCCATTCCCAGTAGGGGGTGTGCAGCGGGCAGCCGATCAATGATTCTTTCTCATCATTGCTATTTCTTTCTTTTTCTCTCTCCTCTCTTCTCTTCTCTCTCTCTCTCTCTCTCTCTCTCTCTCTCTCTCTCTCTCTCTCTTCCTCTCTGAAATCAATAAAAATATATTAAAAAATAATAAAAAGCAAAATAAGCAAAACCACCTTGTTCTCTTTTTCAAAGTTCCCATTCTTAAATCTCCACTTCCTTAATTCACTGAGATCACCTCAGAACAGCCCAAAAAAGGAAGAAAGGGATAAACACTCCTATCTCATTCCCAGAAGCCAGTTTCATTTTACTGGCTATTTCAGAAGCCAAAGCCTAGTGTAGCCAAAATTTCAGCAAGGAGAGTGCACACAGAGCAATTCCACACCCTGATCTTAAACTTCTGTGGGTGAAAGCAAGTCACTGCAGGCAGGAATTTGGACTTGGGAAGAGTGGACATTCCCCCACCTAAGAAAAGATGGTAAAAAAAAAGAATTGGGACAGAGCCCCTATTTGTGTCTCTTCTTACAAGATTTTGTGCCCAATCTCCAACTACAGGAGAAAAGAACCCTAAATCATTTCATTTTCACCACAAAGATCTTCTGAGTAATAAAGAATTGTCAGTTACCAATGTTGCCACCTGCAAACCCACTGAGAACCTATTACTGTCATCAGGAATCCCAGACTAACATTCCCCAAGTCAAGGAAAGGGGCCCTGCCAAAAAGAAAAAAGAAAGAAAAAGTATATATTTATATATGTGTGTGGGAGGTGTAGTACATTTAAGGGCACATAGCTATCAGGTAATTTTTAAGGATTTACTAACACTGCCGACAGTAACAGGGAACTGCATCTGTTTCTGCTTGAGAAAAAAAGCTTCAACAATATTCTGTTTCTGATTCTTGCATATAGCCTTTAGATGTTTCAAGGGTGGCTATTTTCCTTTTTTGAGATATAAAAGCCAAGGAGAGAGAATACATCACAGGCAACACCAGAGTCTGTGAAACCCATTTATTTTTCACTACAGTTGCATTTTCTGCTGTTGCTATACCAATACCTTCACAGGGACTCCACTGTCCCCCAGCCCTGACAATAGCACAGGTGGCCTTTCCTGGCTGAAGTGAACCAGTTTGGCGCCACTACAAGGTCTACCAGCAGAGTGGAGTCTTCCACACTCAGGTAAGAATCAAAGGATGAGAGAACAAACAGGAACCCTGCTGCTTCCAAGCCAAAAGACTAAAAGTGAAAGAAAAATGACACCATCACAGAAACACATGAGCACTAGAAAAAGGAATCATTCACAGGTGCCTGACAGGCTCCGGGGCTAAAACCTAAGCCTTGTAAAAGGTTATTCTTTCTCCACCTCTACTTTTTCAGATAAAGGTTTTTACACAGAGACCAGAACTTACCATCACCCTAGGGAACAAAGGCTGTTGCCTTGAATCCAACCCAGGGTATGAGTGAACAGATCTTGATGCTCAAGGACAGTCACCCCAATGCTTTCCTGAAATTGCTTCACTGGTCTCAGATCCACAGCTGTTAGCAGCTTCAAATACCCATTACAAAACCCTCAGCCCCATCCTCAAATGACATCTGTCACTCCCACCAATAGGAAAATAGCCTTCCCACATTACAGGCATTATTTCTCACTGCTTTAGTTTTCAAGTTTCCTGCGATATGGCAACCTAAGAATATTAATTTAAAAAAAGATACATTCCATTAAATGCAATCTCACTACAGTGGAATATGTGGGTGGCCCCAGACTGAAGCCATCTTGAGGAGAAGTTGGGGGAGAGTCTCTATCATCACATATGCATTTGTCCCAATGCTTACCCTTAACCCAATTGTCTTAACTCTCACCACTCAAGTCTGCATCAGAGCAATATTTGCTTCCAAAGTTTTTTGTTGTTGTTTTTTGAAAGTACTGGGCTTCTTCTATTATTCGTTTCTTCTCATCTTTCTTCTACTGCTTGATGGAATGTCCCCTAAACAAGACATCCCTAACTGTCCAGGCAGATAGAAAAGGGAAAATGAATACTGCCTGTCACCTTCAACTGGGGATCACATGACAGCTCAGGAGCTTAGTAAAAATGCTTCATGCATGCAATTACACAACCTGGCCCAATGGGTCTGCTGACATGCAGGTCTCCAAGTAGGCATTTCAGACCCATAAGAGGGCATTATGGCCCTGCTGCTACCTCTTGGTAAGTGGGGAACAAGAGGGAAAAGACATGCACATGTGCTGTCTGACCTTCCTTCTCTGCCTGCAAGCAGCTCTCCTAAAGACATTCTCCCCAGTTCACTTGTTTGGGTAAGGAAATGAGTAAAATCATGCGACTCTGTAATTTTTAAAAAAGATATTGTAATTCTCTGACCCCACAAACAGGTACCAGTAGTTACCTGGTTGTCAAAAGAGCTAAGGATATGGAAAAAGAGCGCAAGGAAAGATTTAAAACATAAGGCAAGTTTTCATCTGGGGGGTGGAAAAGCATGAAGAAAGTGAAACAATGCTTAGTAGCAATAAACCTAAAGTAAGTTCTTACTTTTAAGAAGCCAAGTGACTTACTACTTTTGGAAGTTGCATATGTGTGTATGGAGGGAGAGGATAGCTATAGGAATTGCAGCCCCAGCAACAGCAAAGCAGGAAATCCCCTGCCAGGAGGTGCACCATTACATAAGAGCACACGCTCAATCACCACGAGATGGAGACCAAGCAGGAAACCAGACAAAATGTTAAGGTCTCTTCATCTGCCAGCCTGCATCAGTAACATCTTTTGTTTTTGTTTTGTTAATAACATCTTAGTCTACCTTTCTTCCTCTTCTGTCAGCCCAAATTCTGGGCTTTGAGAAGGCACACCTCAGCAAATAAGTTGAACTCTGCCATTTGACAGTGAGTTTGCTCTCAGGGTTTAAACACTGCAGAGCAGAGGTCCGGGCAGGCCCGGTTCTGAGCACCCAGTTCCTGTTCCAGTCTAGCTGTAGGTGATGACTTGTATCACATGCCATATCTACTACAGTATCCAAAAAGTCGCAGTGTGTACAGGGAAGTCCTACCTATCAGGCCTCTAGTTAATTCATTGGGCACAAGTTCCTTTAGCAGCAAATGGCCACCGATGAAAATTAACAACATAAACAAAAATGACTTAAAGACTGTGAACTCCATGAGGGTTCTGTCTTATTTATTCCAGTATCCCCAAAACCTAGCACAGTGCCTAACATACATTCTGTACCATATAAATACCTGTGAGTACTGAATGGAAGAATAAACAAACAAATGAATGTTGTGCAAACATACCTTGGAGAAAAAGTTAAAGTGCTCAGGATTTGAAAAATAGCCTGAAGAAGTAGTGCTGTTGAAAAGACTCCAGAATGACTCTGGGTTTACCAGAAAGTAAGCAAACTAGAAACGAACAGTAAAATCCAGTAGTTATAGTGTGGGCTCCACCACAAGCTATCTTTGTGACCTTGGGCAAGTTATTTGTTTAGCTTTGGTCTCAACTAAAAAAAAAAGGGAGGGGGGAGAATAATACCAATACCTACTAAAAAAATTTGTTGTTTATTTAAAGGAGATCAAGAAAGTAAAGTTCTTGGCACAAGGCTCGATACATACCAAGTCCTCAATAACTTTCCCTATTACTGCTATTATTGCTGCTTTATTGAATACTTCCTTTACTGAGGGGGAAGTAGAGCGCCCCTCCCAAACTCTGAAAATTTTCACTTCTGGTTGAACATGCCTCTAGCTAAAAATGCAAAGCCCATACATACAGAACTGAATGCCAGGCACATGTCTCTACTAGCCTCCACTGGATGGTGAGAATTTAGGTGTGGAATTCCCAAACCAGAAAGGGTGTGTGTACACATCATCCATACATACATTTTAAACCAGAGGAATGAAGAGAGCAAGAAATGAATTAGCCACTGTGAAAGGTGGAAAGACCCACTTTCCCACCTCCGTAGATCTAGAAAGGGAGTCAATACCTGCAGTTTAACTGAACTGAGGAGGAGTTTTATGGCACCTCTGTACAAAGCACACACAAGCCCAGTTACCAAGAGCAACAAAGCCCAATGAGCTGCCTGCCAGAGAGAACATCCTGTGGGAACAGCAGCATGAGGCCTCTTTGCCAGAACATGAACTTCCCTGGAACCGACCAGGGACCTGGTTGTGACGCCTCTTTTCTCCTGGGTCTTACGGTCCCCAAAACCACCTCCCCCTCCTCATCTCCTTACAGGTAACTTTTTTCCACTTTCAGCAACCTCACAGCCACAACCCTACCGGAGGGTCAGACCTACACGAATAAAATAAAATAAAAAAGAAAGTCTACATCTATAAACAGGAAACGGTTTCGGTGAGTCTCAACCGGGATAATAAGAGAAGTTTTTGAGATTAAAGACCAGAAGGGGCGCCGGGGCTGCAGAAAAGTCCCGGGCTCACACGAACTCCAAGATTCGCTCAGGAAATCCACCGTCGCTAAGCAAACCCTGCCCCCGTGCGGGACGCGCAGCTGGAGTCGGCTGGCGGGGGAAATAATAATAGTAATAAAAGAAAGAGGGCCTCAGCCTACCTCCTTTTCAGCGATGCGCCCACTGCGGTCCACCCTGAACTCCCCGGCAGCGAGCACGACCCCGCACGCCGGGCGAGGCCAGGCCGGCGTGCCCCGACCCCCGCCACTCAGCTCCCGGCTGCAAAACGGCCGACTGGCCCTCCCCGAGGCCTCGGCACAGCCTCCCCGGCCCCGGACCCCGCCGGCCCACGCCGGTGACAGCGAGACAGCACAGAGCAGCTGACGCCGGCGGCCGGCCGCGGTTCCCCAGCGTCCGGCCTGGACGGTGCGCGCCCACCCCGAGCCCCTGACAGCCAGCCGGGCGCCCCAGTGACACAATGCCGGACCCCGCCGCTCCCCGGGCACGGTGACAACTTACCCCGGGAACGGCGCGGCGACCTCCGGGAGGGGGGCGCTCGCAGCTTCCGCGGCGCCGGGATCCGCTCCGCTGCCTGCGCGCGCCCGCAGCCCTCTCGGGTGTAGGCGAGGCCCCGCGTGCCCCGCGTGCCCTTGTCTGGCTGCAGCTGGCCGGCGCTGCGGGAGGAGGAGGCGGGAGGCAGGGCGCAGGCTGCTGCCGGCTGAGGAGAAAAAAAGAAAATAGAACGCGGCGGCGGTAGCTCCCGCGTCACTAGCCCAGCTGTACGGCGCGGGCGGGGGGAGGCCCGGGGAGGGAGGAGGGGAAGGAAAAGGGAGGGGGAAGGGGCGGGGCCACGCGCGCACGCAACAAGCGCCGGCGTCGCGCCGCTGCGACCGCCCTACTGGGAGGCTCAGGCGTTCGAGGGCGGCCAGCACGCACGCGCTGCCGGCGGGCCACGTGCCCCAGAAGGTGAGCCGGGTGGGGGTGGGAGGGCCTTAAAGGCACAGTCACCTCGACTGCGCTGAAGTGCCTGGGGCAGTGGTTCAAGCTCGGGCTGTGTCGTGTTTGCAGTTCGTCCTCCAGATCTTTTACTATTATTATTTAGATTTTTTAATATATTATTTGGATTATTGGATTACTATTATTTGCAAAGAACTGGTTTACTGTCAGGTTCTCCAAGCACTTTCTTGCTTGTTGCCTTATTAGCTTTTAAATCACTCGCCAGAGCTATCACCAAGGCAGGCCATTATCTCCCAAACTATGGCGCATAGCCTGACAACTTCAAAATTGCTCCGAGGGGTGGAGTGGGTGTAAAAATACAGATTTGGGGGCCTCACCTCCAACCTTTCCGATTCAGTAAAGCTAGGGTCAGATTCAGGAATCTATTTTAAATGAGCATTCCGAAGTGATTCCTCAGCACGCTAAAAGCACACGACGAATCTCAAGGTTGAGAAAACCAAAGCTAAGAGTGAGGACAGGCAGAGGCGGAGCTAGAACCCCGCCACACTGCGCACTCTATTTCCTGTCCGGAGTCTCCCCGCCTGAGGCTATTTTCCTGCACCTTGCTATATGAGTAGTTTGTGCACTGTGGCTACATAAGTTATTGGTGATCGCATTTCGGTCCTAAGAGATAAATGCTCCGCTGATGTGTTTACAGGGCTTGTGGCTCCTCCGTGGCGATGATGGTGACTTTTTATCTTTGTGCCCAGGGCCTTGTACAGTGCCTGTCTCAGAGGCGCTCTTGAATGTCAAGGCCCTCTTACTTGAGAATCAGTGCCTGCATCTGCACTTGGACAGACTTCCGTCTTTGCTGCAGCTTGTGGAGAAGTCAATCCTCTCTGTTTGCCTGGGGCTAAGGGATTTCAAGGAACTAAGACTTCCAGTTCTAATATCAGGACAGTTGTGGGCAAACTGAGATAAGTTGGTCACTGGTATGGTATGTCAGAAGGCACAGTATTCCTTCTCTCTCCCAGGAATCTAACAGGTAGCTTGTGCTTGTACCCCTTAGAGGGCACAAAAGAGGAACCTGGCTCCCTGAAAGTGCAAGAGAGAAAAGGTTCAGAATTAGTATATTGTATCTCTGTTGCTATCATATAGATAGATAGATAGATAGATAGATAGATAGATAGATAGATAGATAGATATAGATATATATGGCTAATATGCTAAGTGTCCGACCATCTGGGTAATGACTTCACGTAGCAACGCCTGGCTTCCTCTCCCTAGCAAGGACTAGCCTCCTTGCAGTTTCTTCAGCCCAGGAACACGACTTGCTTTATAGCCAGGTGCAAACATTTCACACTATAACCAAATGTCTGTGAAGCGTTTTCCCATGCCTCATCTCATTTGATGCTCACAGAAGTCCTGGAGTAAGTAGATATGAGACTTGGTGGAATCCTATTTTCTTTTCATTAGCTGGAAAATGGAGATTTAGAAAGCTGAGAAACTTGATCCGATTGAAAAGAAGTAAGAAATGGTGGACCTTGAAAATGACTTCAGGTTTTCTCACTGTGCAGAATATAGTCAAACACTGCTGCAGCCCTAACCGGTTTGGCTCAGTGGATAGAGCGTCAGCCTGCGGACTCAAGGGTCCCAGGTTCGATTCCGGGCAAGGGCATGTACCTTGGTTGCGGGTACATCCCCAGTAGGGTGTGTGCAGGAGGCAGCTGATCAATGTTTCTCTCTCATCGATGTTTCTAACTCTCTATCCCTCTCCCTTCCTCTCTGTAAAAAAATCAATAAAATATATTTTTTAAAAAAAACAAAAACACTGCTGCAGTTAAATATTTTACCCTTTGTTCTCCCTGCATGATCTACAATAATAATCTGCTTCGTGTTGATATTTATTGCTGTGTTGCTGACAATTACCTGAAAGAGAAGTTGGAGTGCTTCACTGGGCTGGAAAAAGTTTAGTTACATCAGAAAGCAGGTCTAATTAAACAAGTTTATTCTATATCTATAAAAGGCTAAATTGACTTGCACATACGTGATACATATAAAGCTCTTGGCGCCAATCACATGCATGTGTTTCCATCTGTCATTGTTGATCGTGAATTTGGTTGACACCTCTATTATAGAGAAAGGGTGAAAAGCGATATTAAAATATTTCTTCTAGTTAATTTCCTTTCAATGTGCATGAATCTGTGCACTGGGCCACTAGTTACTTATAACAATAAGAATGACAGCATATATTATTGAGCACCTACTGTGTGCCACGCACTAGATAGGGACTTTTATACATGTAACCACGGTCAAACAAACTCAAAAAGATTCTGGAGGCTTTGCCTAGAAATCTATACTAATAATAGGGTAATATGCAAATTGGTTGGGACACCATCACGGTAACGACTGATCAGCAGGCTGCATGCGCAGCAGGTGCAGGTGGGCAGGGACTTGCAGCATCAGGGACAGGGGCAGGGCCATGCAGAGAGGCCTCTCCGCACGCCTGTGCCAGGGGTCTGCAGGTGCACAGAGAGGCCCCTCCGCTACTGCCCGGCCCGGGGGTCCATAGGCCTCCCCCCAGCTCCGGCCTACCTCTTTGGGGCAATCCATCGAGGAGCCCCGGATGGGTGGGTGGGGCCTACCTCTTTGGGGCAATAGATCACAGGGCTCCCGCACTACGACAGGACACAGGCCAGGCTGGGGACACACACCCCCCACCACCCCAAGTGCACGAATTTCGTGCACCTGGCCACTAGTAAATTATAAAGGTCTTAGGGTTTGTAAACCTGAAACACAATTAGGCCATATCCAGAGTATTCTGAAGAAGGAGGAAAAGCTAAGAGTTTTTATAGTAAAAAGTACATTTTTGAGAAGAAGTAGTTATGAATTCTTAGACTGTGGATTGATCTGAGATGGTAATCCTCTAGATCAGCAGTTGCCAACCTTTCGGACTTCATGGACCACCATTGCTTCATGGACCATTGGTTGGCGACCACTGCTCTAGATAACCTGTGGTCTGGATACCTGCACATTTCTTACTTACTCCTTCAGGAGATCATCAGAGGGTTATTTTAATGTTTGATATATATCCAGGCATTGATGCAGGACTAAAAAGTTCAAAAGCTTAAGTTCCCAAGCTAGTTAAAACAAGAATAGAATTGTTTCCTTGTGCCTCAACCTACCTGATTTTAGTATTTAACAGCTTGACTATAGTGACTCCATTTTATCTCTTCACTTTATTATTCACAGTTGATTTTGACAACCCTCCTAGTTAAGTATCACTAACACCATTTTACACATGAAGAAACGGGCTCAGAGAGATTTTTATAACATCAAAAACTGCATAGCATGTATGTTGTTGCAAAACCAGAATTCATTCTTGTTTGTTCCAAAAGTCACACTTTTTTTTCAAATTAAATGTATGGCCCCTCTTACCCCCAATCAAAATAACAAATAATGACCTAAATTATCATTACATATCTCTTGATCTTTTAAAAAGTTCTGTCTTGCACGCCAGCTCATTTTATCTGCACAACATCCCCATAAAATCATACATTACTATGCCCCAGTTTTAACTATAAGGAAGCTGAGGCACCAAGCAGATGACTGGCTTGTCACCTCAGACATGAGTTAGAATGGTGCTTCCCTTGTTTTGATTCATAATTCTTTAGGCAGCCTTCAAAGCTCCAAGGAAGTAAACAAATAAACCTGCTTGAAGAGGTAGAAGTATTCAAGCCATGTCACCTCAGAAAGTCAGAGTCCATGACGGGTGGACCTGCAGGTCTGGGCCAGTACAACTGAGAGGCAGTTACCACTCCTCGGAGGAAGATCCTGAGCTCAGCCAGTTGTCTGAATACCTGGGCCTGAGCCATCACCTGGGACACCCCTCCTCTGACATGTTAGGAACCAATGAGAGCCAGACTTGGTGGCCCAGTCCTTGTTGGCCAGTGGTCTGAGAAGGCTTGGCAGAGCTCAGAGCTCCAAACAGGGCTGCCCAGAACAGGGACTATGATTCCCTGCACACCCCAATTCTGAGCCCAGCCCTGGAAAATGTGCACCTGACAATGCCCAGTCAGTCAGCAGGTATGGGTAAGAGGGTGATCCAGCCCCTCCTGCTTTTTCTGAAGTCTAGTGACAAGTCTAGTGACATTTTTATCTCTGACACAGACCGGGTAAGCTGAGCAAAAGTATGAGCCCTATTTTACACTCAAGGATAAGCCAAGGTAGCAAAGAGAGTATCTACCTGCTGTGTCTTCATAACTGCCCAAGTCCCCCTCCAATCTGGTTACCTGCTTCTCCTCCCTCCCTTTGCCCAAGGAGACAGCCAGCAGTTCACACAACAACATGGATGAATCTCACACTATGATTTTGACTGAAAGAAGCCAGATGCACAAAAAGCATACACTACGTGATTCCACGTATATAAGGTTCAAACACATAGACAAAATTCATGTAAGGCGTTAGAAGTGGTAAAAAGGATGGTAGCTACCTTTACGGGAGATTGTGACCAGAAGAGAATATGAGGGGACTTCCGGGTGCTGAGAACGTTCTGTTTCTTGATCTGAGTGCTGGTTACACAGGGGTGTGTTCACTTTGCAAAAGTTCAGAGAGGTTAATACTTTATGACTCACTTTTTGAAGTATGTGGTTATTCAGTATAGAGTTTACTTTAAAAAAATTAATCGATCCACTGCTTGCACCTAAAATCAACATGACTTTGGCAACCCTTAAGTGCAGATGGATGTAGGTTTGTGGTTTTAGTGACTTGGATGCCTTGAGCAATGTTGCTGCCTATTGTGTGATTTTTCTGAAATGGTGAGCTCTTGGG